ACCAACGAACGTCTAACTACTAATACTCTCTCTCTCTCTCTCTCTCTCTCTCTCTCTCTCTCTCTCTCTCATACAGAACAAGATCCTAAATCTCTCTCTCTCTCATTCCAGTTCCTGCCACTACCACCACAATATTACGTCAGAATGAACTTCCATAATTGGAATTATATGACCAGACCTTTATATCGATATTAATAAGACCTCAAGTATGTTCCCATGAGTTCCATGTACATACCAAGCATTCATGGGCGTGAAAATACTGCAGTAAATACTGTTGTCCATATTGGTATGGAGGCTAGGGCTAGACCATACTGCAAAGGAAGCATCATTAATTAAAGAGTGCGAGAAGAGACTAAACCGCATGATTGTTGTGCAATTTAAAGGGGTGCCATATGATGAGAGACTCATGATAGCTTAAGAGTGAGAAGAGAGCAAACCAACATGAAATTTTGTGCAGTTTAAAGGGGTGCCATATCGTGAGAGACTCATGATTGCTGAGAATGAAAGAAAAAAGTAAGCCGGAATGATTTTTGTGCAATTTGAAGGGGTGAACTCAAAAGGAATCAAGCAGCAAATGTAAATTGTGGTTTACTTCTAAGTTTTCTTTCGGTCAGTCTTTCTCTTATTCTTTCCTTTCACAAATATTACGAGTCACTAGAACACCGAATCAGTTCAATTCAAAATTTACTACTTCAACCCCAGGTCATTTTAACTTTTTCTCATCTAGTGTTTTCAAACACTGGTATGGACCTATACTGGCTTTCCAGGAACTCTCCTGATATTTTTTCAGTTAGCATCTACTATATTTCAATTTGAAAATTAAAGGTATCATAGACAAACCTCATAAAGCAGAAGATTTGCAAATGTTTCAACAAGAGGTGCTTTGCTTGGATTCAGCTGCGGAACCAAAGCATCAGTTAAACAAACATAGCATTTGAAGCTAGTTACATAAACATCAGGTAACATGCTATTGTCAAAGGGAATTTACTTGTAGCATCACAACGAGGTTTTGGGCCGTTGGCATGGCACTCAATACCTGTGTATAAATAGAAACCATTTGATTCATTTTCTTGTAAAAAGAACAAACAATTATAATAATAATTTCAAGCCAATGAAAAATGAGTGAAACACCAGGTTGCCTACCCAAAAAAGAACAATTTATGCAGGGATGGACGCTGTTCAACAACTAATGACAATAGAGTTTATAGAACAAACTAGATTTTTATTTACTTCGTAAAAAAAACAAATGAATTGGAAAAGCGCAGCAAAATCAACATAGTTACACGAAGGTTTAGCCAAATATTGGAAATGAATGACAGAATCTGGGTAACTTCACCATAGTTTAAAGTCAAGGAAGTTGGAACTTATTAAAAGACGAAGGTAGTTTCAAACACAAACCCAAACATGCATGTGGGGGTGTATTGTCCAATTTCAGCTAAACCTTTATCGACATTGATTCATGCCGCATGGCACCAGACAGTTCAATGGTCATATCCTTGGCACATGTTCTGTTTTAAATCAGATGTGGGTCCATACAATGCCAGACATTAAAGGTCTTCAAAAGAGATGCATATCCAAGCAAAGCTTGTGATAAAGAGCCGCATTACTCGCTCACAACAGACCATCAATAGCATCAAAGAAACTCGATAATTATAATACTCACCAATATTGTGAACACTAAAATTGTATTCATTGGTAGCAAGCCCATATGCAACAGGCCCTGCAAGGATGTGAACAAGATACAATGGTGGGACTTAATCCATAATGACGTCAAAGGAAACAGTTGCATTTAAAGATATATGAATTTGAAGGTTTTAATTCTTACCTTAACTAGGAATAGAATGGCCAGTGGCATTCCAATAAGGCGGATGCATATAATTGCCCAAAATATGTGCTTATCAAGAACAATAGTATATCCCTTTTCTCTATTAAATTCACCACTCTGTTTATCAGTTTCATATGGATCACCTTTTCTTAGGCCAAAGTCTGAGATAAGAGGTCCAATGGCACAAGCCAGTATAATTGTCTGAACAGTGACCGTTGCCGACCCCAATAATGATGATGCCTGAGAGATAATAGTACATGCGATAAAGATATATGCTCATTCATAAGAACACATTATGTCATAGTTGAGATAGATGTCTATTTCAAGATAGGAGAAAAACACACGATAATCTCAGCAACAGAATGCTACTTTGGGAAAGTGTACCATAATGCTGAGGACAATAGAAGAGAGATAGTAGAACCACCAGAACAGGATATTTTCTGCTTGTTTGTAACACTACATAAAATAATGTCTATTTATTTGCATTTTGTAGTGCATTTCCAAGTTTTAATGATGTTATTTCTGCTTTTTCATTCTTGCCTCTCTATCCCCAATTTTAAAGTTTTTCTTCCCAATTATTTCCAAGAGACTACTGAAATTTTTTTTGTTAAGAGACGTCAGATGCAACATCGATGCTTATTTCCCAATTATTTCCAAGAGACTACTGAAATTTTTTTGTTAAGAGACGTCAGATGCAACATCGATGCTTATACAACAGCTTCAGTGTGGTGGATTGAAGTTATGTTATTAGCTTGTGATTTTCAGAACACTTCGAAAGTTTAACAATAAGACACTTCAATTATAACATCATTTTATTTTTATTTTTATTTTTTTTGCTACTTTTAAATAGTTTGATTGCAATCTTACATAATACAATATAATCTCCCATTCATTTATCTTTCTGTAGAGAAATCAGAACATACCTCCATTATAGATTGGCAGAACAAAACCAGACCTTCGTGGAGAACTCTAAAGCCTTCAGATGATTGGTGAATATCCAGAAACTTTCCCTTGGAAGGATAGAAAAAATATGAGATTGGTGTTGCCCCAATAACCAGTCCAATCAAAGTCTGGAAAAGAAATCAAAATGACACAAGTCAAATGTGAATCGTATATATTTCAGGTGATAGAACCAGTCCAATCAAAGTCTGGAAAAGAAATCAAAATGACGCAAGTCAAATGTGAATCGCATACACTTTCAGGTGATAGAACAGGAAATAAAAAGTAGTAATTTTGTTCATACCCCATAGATAGGAGGATTCAAGATACGCCTAATCCAAAACCATATGAACTGAATGAAAGATTGCATTGACGGTTGTGACAACGATAGAACTTCCTTGCGTTCAGGAGAGAACAATTGATACCCAATACTCCAAAGTAATGGAGACCAACCAACAAGGTAAAGAGCAACATACCTGAAAATAATTTTAATAAGCAATTAATCATTGGTAAATATGATAGGTCATGGTTCTGTAGCTGTGCTTACCCTGCTGCAGTACCACCATCAGCATATGAAAGTAGTCCTGCAAGGATGACCTGTAAAAAATTTAGAAGCAACAATGTTCAGTCTCTATCTTCTGAGCAGCAAATTGACTGTTCCATATCTAAAGGACAACAGGTAGATCACACAGGTGAATGTTTTTATTGCTTTGGTCTGGCTAGCAACCATCCAACAAACATGCAACAACCAGAATTGGTATTTACTATCATATAGACCAGCAAACAAAATATAGCATAAGGGTGGGAGAAAAGAGAGACACAAGATAGGGCTCCAAGTTGATTCCACCTTTTTTGATTAGTGGGTTGACTAATTCCATTGCAATTGCACCTTATATAGGCACAACCTAGGGTGCAATATTACATTAATACCTTTTACATGGATAATGTATGACTGTACACTAAATTGAACATAGACTTAAATAACTATCCCTACACGTCATTTCCAAATGGTCCCCCTCAAGCTGTACAAAATATCCAAAAATTCGGTCGCCTAGCCACATAGGCAGGGTGACAGAACCAAATGAGCCTAGGTGCACAACCTAAGCAATGATGTGCCTAGGAAAAGGGTTTTGGGGGGCATTCCACCCCCCTTAAACCATGTTTGAGTGTTTTAGAAAGAGGAAAACTTCCAAAAACAAGAGTTTTTTTAGATTTTTTGAAGATTGTACAAACTTTCCGATTTCTTGCAAAATAGAAAAGCACTCAACCCTATACCTTTTGTAGCTTGAAGTGGTTGTGAAAGAAGACTGTCAGCAACCAACGGTCTCCAATTCAAGCCAAGATCAATTGAATTTTGAAAGGTCAGTATATACAAATTTTTGGTTTAAGGTTTGGTGATTTTTATGAGTATAAATTTTTTTTTCCTTTTTCTTTTCCCATATTTGGTTTGTTCCTGTTTTTTTTCGAGTTTTAGCTTTGGATTACTGGTCCATATTCAAGAGTGGGGTTTGGTTTGTGTTTATTACGATCCAATCTCAATAAAATGTAACTAAACTTAATTCAAATGGATTTTGTCCTATTTTATTTATAATTGAGAAAGGGGCAATCATATGAACTTCTTTCTACTCGATTGCCCTTTTTCCAATTTTTGCTCTCTTATCTTAAATACTCAGTGTTGCATTAGTATTTTTTTAATTATTTATGTAAGTGAGTTATCATTTTGAAATTTTTTTCTAGTTTTGATTCTTATGAATCTTTTATCTGGTAAACTATTAAATATTTCTCTAGGATGGGTAACTTTAGTGTTTCAAATTTCAATATTTAATTTAGTGTCTCTAGACTAATTACTTGAGTTTTGTAAAGGGTGCAGTTGGCGTACGGATGCATCCGTAGCTGTAGAGGT